AGAGTTCATCATTGGCTTCTCTTACAAGTGAATCTTCCAGTATCCATAATAGCGCAGGAACAGGTGTTTTTGTTTTTTAAACATCACAGAATCGGCCAATAGAAAACACAGTACAGATATGTGCATGCTCAGAGTGGTGCAGTACCACAGGAGATCTGACAAGTCTGGCTTTTCCTAACAATCAATGCTCCGATATTAAAGTACACAAGTCTATATAGCAAATACTACATAAGCAGCAAAAGACGTTTTAAAAGACTTGGAGAACATTCAAGGGAGGGCAAAAAATAACATAAAATGTATTTTCTGGCAGATTACATTTAATGTAGCATAGTGAATACCAAAAACATAAACTATAAATATGAAATGGGAAACTGCTTCAAGACACTACTAATGAAGAATTAGGTGTTTACAGTGATGCATCATTTAATTCTTATAGACAATGTGGGTAAGTGATACAAACGGCAAAGTGCTACGATAAATGTTTGAAAGTGTAGAACATGAATCATGGGATGTTATGTTGACATTGTACCTAATCAGCGTGACTTATGTGAAATAGAAAGTAGACGATGCACGTGGAAACTATGTGGAAATGCAACTGAGATCGATTCACAGCTGAATACAGGAGGAGTCTTTACACAAAGAGCTGCGGAACAGGGAACACCTGTCCAGCCCGGTTGCTGAAGGTATCGATTGACTTCTTTCAAGAAACGGCGTGGATCGTTAGCTTCTAAACGGCTTTCTTTCCTTTGTCACGTCTCTTGTGTTACAAACAGAAATATAAATAACGTTTAAATTAGCCACGCGAAGATAAACATCAAGCGAAACTAAAGACGCTGTTGCTTTCAGGATCAGCAGGTCCAGCTCAGATCTTCCGGGGAATGCACCGCAGTCCGTGCAGCTCCGCACGTCTCAGTGGGCCGTGTTGCGGAGATCTCCAAGGGTACAGTCTGAAGTGTGACGTGCTTGCTTGCTTTAATACGATACTCGCTGGAAGTCAAAAGGCTTGGATTTCCGTGAAAAGTTATATAAAGGATAGACTGGTTTTCAAACTGAACAACACCCGTCTGCCAAACAAAATGTACGCATATGCACACACATGACAAGAACTTCTTATAAATGAAAACGAATGAACAAAATGATATCCACATTTCTAGCAGATATCAATGTGAAATAGTGATTGCGAGGTAATGCGGTTCTCCGTCGCTAGATGGAGCCTAAGTTACAGTGTGGAGCTCCCTGGAGTCAAATCTGGATAAACTAAACATGCAAGTTGAATACACGACGTTTTGTGAACCGTACAAGAACGGACTGCTGATCTGTCTTAATGTATTTCTGAATAAGGTGAATTAATTCAACTGTACATGTAAGAAATAATCTTTGATACCATTATTAGCTGGTTACATTATTTTTATAATTCACTGCTAAGACGTGGTGCCTTGCATCAGGCTAAAGGGTGTGCTGTGGGTTCCGGAATAATGAGATCAGCACTGAGCAGCGCCTGTCCCGGCCTGGTCTCCAAGACACGCCGGTACCGTCCCGCGCACCTGTCTGCCTCACCTGGAGGGGCAGGGCCAGAGCAGCTCGCGGGGAGGGGGCCGCGGCGCGTTTCCAGGGCGACTCCAGCGCGCACCGTGTTCGCCAGGTTTAAAAGCCAGACCCCCAGGAGCGAACCTCGTCACCACGAGCCTCGGCGTCCGCACCAGTGCTTTAAGGGGGCAGCGGCGTTAGTTTTCTCCTGTATGGACAGTCGTCACCGGGGTTCAGGGGCGCGTCGGTGCAGCAGGGGGCGGGTCATTCTAGCGAAGACTAGCGCATTTTAGTGTGCGCACACTACAAGTGAGCAGGTCAGGGATGGAGAACTCCAGCCTCTCGCTTCTTTTCAAGGTGGTGGGCGTGCTGCTGCTCGGCCTGGCTGCGGGGCTGGTCCTGGACGTCCGAGGGCTTTCACACACCTTTCTGGTGACCGGGTACCCCGAGCACTGGAGGAAAGCGGGGCTGGCCGGCGCCCCAGCCCGGGCGGCAGCCTGCATTCTCGCCGGGATCTCGCTGATAGCCCTCGGCTGGCTGTATAGGCTGCTCTTTGCCCCGCTGGAGCTGCTCCGGAAGCCCGAAGAGGTGGGATACATCCCCGAGGAGGGTCGGACCCGAGCCCAAACCGCTAACGAGGTGAGGAGGCGGCGGAAGACCGGAGACCTGCCGCCTGTCTACCCGAACGGCTGGTACCGGGTGCTGGACTCGCACCTGCTGGAGAAGGGCGACGTCAGGAGCGTCACGGTGCTGGGTAAGTTCACCTGTCCGGACCATCCAGCGGCCGCACAGGGCCGCCTAGGGCAGCAGGGTATCAGACTGGGAAAGGCCGTTTGCTCCCGGAGCGCTTATGTAAGGAGGTCTGGAGCCTGATCGCCAACATTTGGATTGTGTCGCAGATCATGTCGGGCATTTCAGACACGCGTTTTACTTATTCAGGAGTCCTCGTCTGCCGCAGGAGGGTTCTTGTTAGTGCAGCGATAACTCAGATCGTGATATGCATGTTGTCACCTGGCGAGGGGGTCCCAGTAGGGGTGCCAAGTCCTGCCCAGAAGAGACAGGTGTGACAGCCAGTATGTCCGCTGTTATTTTACTGGTTAAGTACAGGTAGCTTCGTTTCAAGACTTCCACACCTTCAATCCAGCGTTTGTACACGCGTCTCTCGCCCTAAAAACTGAACAGCGTGGAGTCCTACCGACTTCCAAACACGTGGGAAGTTTTATGCAATAGCCATAGTTGGTGAAATAGTTTCAGTTCTATTTTAAAATACAGTAGAGAAAAATTTGATTCATTCAGTAGAATTCTATAGACGCTGCTAGATCCCTTTCTGATGCCTCTGAATGGAGAAATCTGTTCTTGTTTGAGCCCTAATTCCAGTCCAAATGTGTCCGCAGGTTTTCATATCATCTCTACTCTCAGTGACTTAAAGTAGCTCATTCTGGGCTTAATTAGATCAATTTTAATTGGTCCCCACAGGTCTTTATGTGATCTCAAGAAATCTTGAAAATCTGCGGATACACTGGCCCTCCCGGATCATGACTGGGGATCCCTGCTTAGAGCAGAGAATGTTGTTCAGCGTGGTATGTGAAAGCAGGGAGAGAGGCCTGGGGTCAGAGCGCAGGGTCAGACACTTATAGGGCGCCCCTGGAGCAGTTGGGGTTAAGGGACTTGCTCAGGGGCCCAACGGAGTAGGATTCCTCTGCCGGCTGCGGGATACGAACCAGCAACCTTCCAGCCACAGGCGCAGATCCTGAGCCACAGAGCCACTGCAGCTAGGACTCTGGAGCCTAGTTTCTGGGCTCATGCTGGTGGTGGGGTGGAGGTGTTGGAGGTTTGGGTACCTTCCCGCCTGCCCATGTGGTATGCTTGAGCACTAGATGGCAGAGCAGCTATTCTGCCTGAGTCATTTGGCTGCTTGGAGAAACATCGGTGCTGAACCACAGGCCTGTGTCTTCTCTGCTGGTCCTAGTGGGATTTCATAACTCCAGGGCAGAAACGGACATGTTGCATTATACTGCTTTGTTGACTTGTAAGAAAGTGAGATGCCTGGAGTTGACTGTTTTGTCCATCTGAGCCTTTTGTCTTTCATTCCATTTTGTGATCTTTTGAGAACTGCAATATTCTCCACAAGGCCTCCATCATCCAGTACAAACATCAGCCACTCGTGGGCCTGAGCTTCTGCCTGAGCTTTCTGATGCTTGAGGCTTGTCCACTAGACAATGCTGGTTGTACCTGATCAGCTCTGTGCTTGGTGTTGCCATCTCCACCTTATCTCATCGTCAAGACTGTTCATTGGAAACCTGGAAATCCCTGTAGTTTCCCAGTATGTCCTTGTTACTTCATGGATTTATTTCTCTCTCTTGAGGGACAAGCAGACTTAATGATTTATGTCTCTCATTGTATATAGCAAAACAGCAACTTAAGTTCTGATATGGGGCTTGTGGGTTGTGCAGCGTTTTTCTTGGGGCATAAGAGGTCCACTATACATTTGTTATGGGAGACAAATTTCTCTACAGAGTCCTCTTGGCCACATGTTCACATGTTCACAGACTGTACATTCACAAACTACAGGCAGCAGCACAGGGAGTGGCCAGCCTGCAGAAGAGAGCAGAATCGCCTTGCTCAAGGTCCTGGTCAGAGCTCTCCGCTTTGATGGGGTTGCCAGGGGAAAATCATCTTGAAAGAGCACTGTCCTCTGACACCCTGCACTCTGCAAAGGGGCTTGGACAAACCCAGTAGCTCCTGCAGTCTTGAGACGTTAAGTGTACTGTGGGGCAGCCAGCTTTCCCAGCTGGCTTAGCTTGAGAAGAAGTGTTTCTGTGATATTGTTTTCATCAAGATCAGCTAATGGATCAGCTCATGTGCTCAGTGTGTTTCTGCGATTTGTTTTAAATCCAGCAGCAAATGGCTGGAGTATGACTGCCTGCACACCGAAACCCCCCTCCAGCCATCCCCACCTCCTCCGAAACTGTGTCCCATTTATCCGCCACTGCAGAGCAAGTCCTGGAAACCATAGCAACAGACTGAGCTGGGCACAGTGCCAGAACAGCCGCCAAAAGATCAGCAATGCGTCTGATTCCTGTTGTCCAAGTGGCTGTCCTGTCCCCTGTGGCATGGGACCATTCCCCTGTCCCCTTCCCGACTCCAGATCTCTCTTAAACGGATCTATAGATTTTGTTTGTGAAATGGTGTCTTGATTATATTTTGGAAACCAGTATTGGTCATACTGCTGCAGATTTTATTCATGTTGTGACCTAGATCAGTTCAGGCTGTTTTGTTCAGAGAATGTGTTTGGCAGCATAATCTCCAGTGTCTGTCCAGAAAAAGAAATCCGTGAGGCTCAATCCTGCCCCATCAGCCTTCTTCTGCTGGGGTGTATAAGGACTTCTCTGCTGCTGATTGAGCAGTGTTACAAACACACAGGGAATTTGTTTTTACTTGTGGTTTTCAATTTAGTGTACATATTTTACCAGGCGTGATTTCTGAAGGTCAGTGTAACGTGCACATTACAAGCTGTGCCTGTAAATCCCATAGATGTCTGCAGCAGCACATTTTAGCAAGGCAGGAAAAACTCACTTTAAAGCATGATGATGCAGTAGTATGTTGTTCTGCTGACAGACCAGTAATTTAGCTATGTATCTAAGAAGCTGGTACAAAACATCAGGAACGGACTGGACAGTCTGTGGAAGAAGCTCCCTTGTGCAGTCGAGTGCATGTGCATCTTATAGTTCTGATAGCAGCATTGCTTACAAATTTCTTTTAACAATCCACTTCTTACAGATGAACAACCATATTTATTGTACTCGTAAGTAGCATTGATTTCAGCTTCCTCTCTGGTCTCGCACTGTGGAGCTGCAGTGCAGGCTTGTCCTTGCCGAGAGCAGCCATCTGTTAACATGCTATTGAGGCTTTTGCTCCTTGGGATTAATGGCGCACATGTTCCAGCAATGTGTCAGTGTGTCTGAAGGCTTTCCCTGGGCAGGTGCTGCGTTCAGGATTTTGTGGTGCAAAAAGCATTCCAGTCCTGAGACTCACAAATGTTCCTGACGCTGTTCAAACGTCACCCTGTCAACCTGTGGGTGTCTGAGCAGCTCTGATAGTCTCTCTCTCTGTGTTCTGGCAGGGTTGGCTCTGTGCTCCGAAGGGAATAGAGTCCCTCAATTACCCCAGAATGAACTGGGAACAAACACAGCTTTGTGTCCTGGATTTCAGCAAGAAATAATTATTCATGTTTTTGTATTCCAAGTCTCATTAGGCTTCAGTTTACTTCCTCCTCCAATAACCAAATAAACAAAATTGTAACCACAGAAGCTCTACAGTGGGAGGTGTAGGGCCATGCATCTGTCAGTCACATTGTGTTGTTTACCAGCCCTGAATTTCATTCATTTCCTTAGAGACATGGGGTAAAACCTCCTTCTGCTACATTTGAAGAACCCTAAAAGAATGCAATAGCTGGTGAGCAGATGTAGTGTTTAATTACAGGAGTTGATCAGACGCCGTGCCTCTGTTCCGCTGTGTAGAGAGGACATGTCCACTGAGCAGGCAGGCAGCAGAAGCTGTATTCAGTCTGTCCATGTGTGCAGATCCTGAAGGATAGTGTGTCTCTCTGTGCTGCTACAGCACATTGTTATCCTGTGCTGATGGAATGAATAGGAGCCTGTAGACTTCTATAAAGATGTGCTTGGGCTCCAAGGCATGGAGGCAGCTGTCACCACCAGAAACTCCAGGAGCAGTACTGGAAAGGATTTGCGTTCATGTTAATTTTTCAGGTTTAGACCACACTGCTTTTCAAAGCAGCACAAAATTTTCATAAGAAGGGGTAAGTGGCTGATAAAGATGATTTCCATATGCAGGGCACTGAAATGAGAACCCTTTGGTTGGGAACTGGGAAGCGTTTTGAGTCTGTTCTCCAAGCTCTTCCGAGTGGCAGGTGTCTTGCTTGAGACCCTATCGGACTCGGGGTTGCACACAGGGCTGCAGTGTTGCAGAGTGACCGGCTGCTTCCTGTTCTCCCCTCTTGGGTGCACTGACCCCTCTCTCAGCCAACACCAGTGCACTGCCGTCACCTCTCCGCCTCAGGCCTCCTAGTGCCACATGGCTAGAATGCACAGCACAGAATTGGGATATTTGCTTCTAAGATCTGTCTTATCGGTTGTCAGCGAGGTTATTCTTGAGGTGTTTGTGTGTGTTCATTAACAATAGTATTAATTGTAGAGAACACCAGCCCAGTATGCATAATTGTATTTAACCTAGCACTCTTGAATTATTTGTTTTTTCTTAAATGCTCCAGGAATTCTTTATTTACTAAAGAAACACATGACTGCACAGATCTCTTTGATTTGATTTCCATAGTGATAAAACCGTGAGTAACTACGACACTGAAACGTTTATTGCCTATTCTGTCAAAGGGGACTTCCAGGCGTTTGGATTGTCTACACAAAGGTATCCAGGCTATCAGAGCAGCCTGGACCCCACGGGCTGCTGCACACAATGGTTGTTTGCTGAAACTCTTTTCAGTAAAGAAAACGAGAAGAAACACAATAGAGGCTTCCTTGGCAACATGGCTGAGATACCTGCACAGGTAGAGCAAGGGGGAGCCCTTGTAACAGCAGCAGGAAGTTTGACTCGAGTGGTCATTGCCCTGACAGAATGGAGTCTGAGGGCTGGGACGGAATACTGGGGTGTCCCCAAAAAAGATACTGGGCCCCAGTTTGGCAAGGCCCTGCTGTACTGTGAGGGAGAAGTCGTCCCTTGTTGAACCCCATATATATGAAAAAAGCCTTCTGATTCCACTAGAGACCCGCACTATAATTAAAGAGCTTTGGTACAAGATGCAAGTAAAGGTTTATTCCTTGGTCAAAAGATAAGAAAAGAAACACAACGTTTCTGCTGTGGATCCTTTTTCAGGTGTGTCACACCCTTCTGTTTTCAGCATGGAATAAACCTTTACTTGTTCCTTTGCAGCCTACGCATGCTGACGCAGAGCCCTACTTGAACTACTTTGGTATACGATGTTTAATGAAGTGTTTTGAAATATTGCCCAGATTTATTGTCTTCTTTTGTCTTACACGTGCTCTCAATGTGTTTTCTGTGAAACTGAACTGTCAGATCTGTGTTAAATAGTCGAAGGTTTTTCGTTTCAGTGACCGCTGTGTGGACCTTTAATTCCACTGCACTTAAAATGTTGTGCTGCTTTGAAAACCAATGTGGTCTAAACCTGAAAATTACTTTTTAGTGCTGCTTCTGCTCAGCGCAATCTAAAATTAACTGCAAACATAAGGCACGTCTTTACACAGATGTTTGTGGGAGTCTGGAATAAGCTGCTCAGCCTTGTCATCAAAACTGATGGAATTAAAAAAAAAAAAAAACAGGATGAGAGCCAAGCATCTGTGATCCACTAGCAACTACACAAGCTAGAAGGGCCACATACCCCCCTCCTGTTTGTGCCCTTTCTTAAGTGTGAGAGGTTACATGAGCTGTGAAGGTAACTGGAGTTCAAAGACAGGAACCAGTCTAACAGGTCTGCAAGCTTCAGTTTCAGGTCTGATGCAGTATGTTCTGGCACTCCTGGGGGGTAGTGCAGACCTGCATTCTCAGAGATTCACATGCACATCGCTGGGGGCTCAAGTGGTCACTGTGAGCCTGGATCATGCCATCTCTTCCGCAGAGAGAAGATGGTGACCTTTGTTCCCCAGGGGGGTGTGGCTGGAGAACAATCGGCTCTTCCATCATGGAGACTCTTTTTCTGCAAGCAGAACCCTCTCGTAGCTGTGATTTCACTTTGAAATGGCGATCAGTTAGAGAAACGTTACCATGACCACTGCATCATGTCCCTAGGAGTCATGAGCCTTCAGAGAAATGATGTTTAAAGGGTTTCCAGCCAATCAGTTATCCTTCCTTCATTCAGCTTTACCCAATACAGGGTCATGGGGGAGCAGGTAACATGCACAAGGCAGGGGACACCCCTGGTGGGGCGTCAGCCCATACAGGGCCCACACACACACGCACGCACACGCACACGCACGCACACGCACGCACACGCACGCACACAATCACAGCAGGGCTAATTCTCCCAAAAGCTAATTAACCTACAAGTGTGTCTTTGGACTGTTGGAGTAAACCTGAGCACCTGCAGGAAACCCACGCAGACATGGGGAGAACAGATAGCACCCCAAAAATTGAACCCAGGGCCGCAGCTCTGCGAGGCAGCAATGCCAACCACTCTGCCATGGTGCTGCCTTTATGTAGCATCTAATTTACATAAATATCTAAAGACACTCCTTTCAGGTCATAAGAGACTCGTCTTGGAGCTGAGTCATTTCTGTGATCAGAGTTCACAATTGTGTAATTCCTTGGCTCGTTATTCATGGTGTGCCTGTGGTGTTTTCAGACTTTTTTGAGGAAAATAATGTTTCTTGACAAGAATTGCAGCAATATGTTTGCATTGCCACATATTACAGAAATACTAATGTTTTTCTATAGCTCATTACAGATGTGAAAGTTAAAATTGTGCCAGTCTGGCTTATTGTTCTAGAGCCCCAAGGACTACACATTCCCAGGCTGGACCCGCATGGGAATGTGAGCTCTCCAGTCAGACTGGTCCAGTAACGCTCAGGCTGACTGGTTCTGTGGGCTGAGCTCTTGCATGTCAGAGTCAAGGCTCAAAAGACTTGACATATTTTGCTGACTGACAACAAGGCAGCGATGTAGGGGAAAGGATAAGCAGCCGGAGAAGCTCAGGAGCCTGCAGGCAGGATGGTTCTGTTTGAAGTGGAGCCCATAGAAAGGATGCATTTGCCCTGTAGTTGGAGCCATCTTTACGGGATCATATCTTACTCCACAGTTTTCACCTGGATGTTCTTTCAGAAGTCTGGATTATAGTCTGGATTATAGTGAAGGTCTTTTCCAGGTCAGTAATGCCCACTGCAAGAGCATCATCTTGCCAGGAGAATCTTCTGTGAAGTACCATCTTTGTTTGTGATGGATGGCATCACATCAACTGCAGCTAAACCATTCACCCACTTTGAATGAAAACACACCAACAACAACTGCTTTCTGTAACACATGTGGAAGGTTTTAGCTGTATAAGAGCACTTTTTCCAGATCTGCCATTGAGCAAAAGTGACACAGAAGTTGATTGGTGTGAATAATGTGGTCCTCAGGGGCTGTGTGCAGTGTGAGCAGCAGTAACCCTGGTCCTGCACAGCAGGCCAGACCGCTTGTACAATGTGCTGTGAAGAGACTGAGTGGTTGTGAATAATTCCTGGCTAGGAATGTGAGATCAATGTTTCCACAATCCTTAAGACCTGTGGTAGGCTCTTGCCTTTAACCCAATTCAGATAAGCTTTCCAATACTGTGAGTGTCTCGTGACCAAGGCAGGTTAGTTTAACAGGCTGGGCTTAATGCATCTTGAAACCATAATCTTATGCAGTTCTTTAGATGTAATAAAACCGACAGTAACCGTTTCATTTAAATTGTTTTATTTATATGGATTCTAGTCTCGTCAATGATGTGGAAGAAAATAAGAAGGAAACAAGTGGAACTTTAATAACATTTACTGTCTCTATGAATAGCTTGTGAGTGAGCAATAATGACATATAATTTCACTCTTCCAATCACCTTAATCTCCAACCAGCTGTGATCACCAGGGGCAATGCAAATCCAGAAAGTCCACTGCCCTAATATTGCTAATCGTGGTGATTTAGAAAATTACTTGTTTATCAGGAACTTTGAGGTTTGGATTTGATCTGACAAGTGCAGGTGACTATCCCATCTCTCTAGATGTAGATGTATGTTCCCCTTCAGAGAGTGATGGCATGTTTCAAGTGTCTCGGGTCAGAGCTGTCGACTTCCCCATCTCTTGACACCCTGCTACACCTGCCTGTCCTCACTCACATCATTAACCATTCATTGTATCGCATAAGTGCTGTAAACCTTTGCTGAAGGCAGGTATGTTTTTTCCTGATTTTCTTATCTTGCTTATTCTGATTCCAGCTGATTTCTGCACAGTGTGTGGGTGGAGGGCTGTGCCATTAATCAGAGTTGAACATAAATGTGCTGTTGTGATGAAGAATGTACAGTTACACTGCCACCTTGTGGACGGCTGTTCGGCTTGTGAACGAACCGCATTCTTGCTAGATTGATGCCTCCCTCTGATTTCGCTCAGGAATGTCGGTTGGCATGTCAGACTGGCTAGGAAAGCTTCCTCTCTACCCCCGCAGGCGAGCAGGTGGCCGTGTTTCGGGCGCTGGATGGGACGGCCCATGTGGTTGACGCCTACTGTCCCCACCTGGGCGCCAACCTTGCAGTGGGGGGGCGTGTGGTGGGGGGGTGCATCGAATGCCCCTTCCACGGCTGGCAGTTCCGCGGGGAGGACGGCAGGTGTGTGCGCATCCCCTACGCTGAGAAAGGTGGGTCGAGAGTCTCTGCTGCGACGCTAATGCAGACTGCAGACTGCAGCAAGAGGGACAGTCAGAGATATTTCTACCTTGCATTTAAAATTGTACTTATATTATTTAATTTTTTTAAATTGAGATCAGTTTTTAAATTAAGATGCATGCAGCAGGGCCTGAGATGTGGGGCTTCAGTCTGGGCAGAGCTGGATTTAGCTCCATGATTTCACTATAAGCACAAAGGTGAAAGGCAGGTTCTGAGAACGGCCCTCTTGTGGCATCACATCCTGTGGGCTTGGAATCCATTTCTTCGTTCGTTTTCTTTCGAGAGTGACGGCTGTATGATGAGGGTACTTGCAGTATGTGCGTGGCAAAGCGCTCCGCAGGGTCTCATGGGCAGAGTGCACCTGCTTCTCGGTTCTTCTGACCCCTCGGTGTCTGGCTGCAGTTCCGGACTTCGCCCGGATCCGGACGTGGCCGAGCTGCGAGCTGAACGGGATGGTGTTGGTGTGGTACCACTGCGATGGGGTGGATCCCACCTGGAGCATTCCAGAGCAGGAGGAGATCACCAGCAGGGCGTGGGTGTACCGCGGGCGCACGGAGCACTTCATCAATGCACACATAGAGGTTCGTCTGGACAGGGGGCTGCCTGGGTCCGCTCATCATCTTTAACGGGAATGATCTATAAACTGTGCATTTAAAAGAAATGTAATTGCAACCTTTTCCTGTCAGCTATAGAGAGGGGAGCCTGTTGTAGGTAATGTTTAATGAGCTCTGTGCCCCTGCAGGAGATCCCGGAGAACGCAGCGGATATTGCTCACCTGGCACACCTGCACACGCCTGGCATTGTGAGTGGGGTGGACCTGCGCTACACCAACAGCAAGACCTGGGAGTTTGTCCGTCATGACTGGAAGGTGAGGGGTCGGGACCTCTCTGAGGGACCCAGGAAGCAGAGCGCAGATCTTAGGACCTGTGAGCTCTGGTCTGTTCCCATAACTGTGACTGTGAAAAACTGGCCCTTCAGTAGGCTGAAGCCAGGAGGGCTGGTGCAGGTGTGACAGAATGAACCCTGTCAGACGACAGCAGCGGATTTCTGGGGAGATAGTCTCTCTTTACAAATTTGCTGAAGTGGTGTAAGTTAAGCTTCCTTTGAGAGGGAAAGCCTCAATCATAGCAGCAATTCCACAGTGTTGGATGTGTGCGCATTGAGAGCATCAGTGGTCAGACCGACCCCTTGGTGTGAGGTGTGGGCATGTTTTTACTGATACACATCCCCCCAGAAACAGTAACTTCTGACAGGCAGTGTGGGGATGTCCCCACACAGGAGAGGATTTTGTGAACAAACTGGTATCTTTTACACCTGCGATGTGCTGGGGTGTATCTGGGGCCGTGCAGGGCTTTGGGTACTGAAGCCAAGCGGAAGTGGTGTGACTCCGGTGTGACTCCGGTGTGACTCCGGTGTGACTCCGGTGTGACTCCGGTGTGCTGTGTTTCGCAGGTGCAGTGGGCGCCCGAGCCAGAGCCCAGCCAGCACTGCTCCCGGATGCTGGTGAAGCACGCCCTCACCATCTTCGGCAGGCGGTGGCCACTGCTGGACCTCGACGTTGTGGCCAGACAGGTGCGACAGAGGAGAAGGGTTTCTCCCTCAGTGTGTGTGTGAGCGGGATGCGAGCTGCGTGGTCACAATCCTATGGAGCTTCAGGACGTGCGTCCGCTGTTTATGCACTTCAGGGACCTTTTGTATTTATTATTGGAGTATATTAGTAGAATTTCTTTGGTTTTGTGCTTTTTATTCGAATAAAGGACTGAAGCTCATGAAGCCTAAAATGGATCAAAATGCTGTTGCATGAGATGTATTTTTATCTTATCTGTATGTCAGCAATGCTCAGCCATAGGCTATCCAGCTTTAGCCTCTTCCTCTGGTCTGCCGGTGCTGCCTGCATGCTGAGAGGTGTGGGATGGGTTTTCGTTCCTGCAGTGTCGTGAGTCTGCACGCCACCTGATCGGGATTCTGGGTTGCCTTTGTCCTGACCTGTGTGTGTTTGGCAGGTGGGCCCTGGTGTGGTGTTCCTGACCTTTGACCACAGTTTCCTGGGTCGCGGGGTGATCATGCACTGCGTGACCCCAGTGGAGCCACTGCTGCAGTGTGTCTCCCACAGCATCTTCTACCAGAGCAACATTCCGCCCATAGTGCCCAAATTCATCCTGCGTGCAGAGTGCATACAGGTAACTGCCTGCTCAGACTCTTTCTATGATTTTTGGATGTAGTAGTAGATTTCCTAAGCCTTCTAGAAGACACTTCTACGATTTTGCACAAACCATTTCCGTGTGATATCTTCCGATTTCTTTGGTATTTTAAAAATGTCTTGTTTTCAGCATTTCTGTACCTGAAAGTGCTATCCGAGAGAGGCTCACCCTGTCTTGCTGTCCGTTCCCACAGTTTGAGCGCGACGTGATGATCTGGAACAACAAGAAGTACATCTCCAAGCCCCTGCTGGTGAAGGAGGACTCCGCCATCCAGAGGCATCGCCGGTGGTTCAGCCAGTTCTACAGTGAGAACAGCCCACGGCTCGGCTTCCAGCAGGACTCGCTGGACTGGTGACCCCTCCGTGTGAGGGAGTCCAGACTGGGGGACACCCTCTTTCTCTGCCTGTACTGCCTGTCCTCCCTTTACAAACCACTTTCACTAACCCAGGGATGGGGCGCTCTTTTTCCTGAGGGCCGTGTGTTTTTTGCACATTCTTGAAGTCTGCAGAACTGGAAATAGCTGTTAAACTGGTCCCGTTAAGCCGGCAGCAAACTGATTAGAGTCATTAAGAGCTGAACTGGAATGAAAACCTGCAGGTTCACTGGCCCCCAGGGGCAAGACTGCCCTCCCCTGCCTTGACCCATAGTGTACATCCAGCCCCAGGCCTGTTCCAGCATATGGGCTCATGGGCCAAGTGTAGAAACTCATCTCTTGCCAGTCCCTTCCAGTTCATTTTGCTGAAGTCTGGCGAATAGCTTGTTAGAGTTAGACTTCACTGGCTTCAGCAATTTAATGACAATCAGTGACCTTGATATGCATCATATTTTATACTCGATACTATAAACTACTTCCAGTGCTAATCAGCTGAGTGACTCATGAACTGAATCAAAGCCAAGATCAGGGGAGACCACCTTGCATTTTCAGTCTAGAGATCTTGTTTGTGTCGGTCACCTGATCTCCCAAAGGAGAAAACCCCAGGAAAAATTGGGGGTTAAGGAATTGGTTCGTTAGTTGTATTGTGAGGAAAATCCTTTAAATCTAAATTAGCTGCACCGAGATTGATTGGCACTCTTCCGCTAAATGTAAAAATATGAAACAAGAGCTCTGCAGTGGAGCTGGTACAAGGAAAGACAATGTGAAACAAATGTGAAACTTGCTTGTGAAATTGAAGCACTGGATGCCTCGCCCACTGGGCTAGAGGTGTTCCAGATGGGGGTTGGAGTTGCAAGTGCTGTTGCAGTCGGCGTGGGGGCCCCAGGCAGAGTTCAGTAGGGGGCGCTGTGTCGCAGTGAGTCCTGGATCTACTGAAGAGCAAATGATTGAGTGTGAGTGTGGGGGGAGGAAGGCTGAGATGTTGCGTTTTATCCAGTTTTTAGAGAACCTTTCTATTCCAATAAGTGCCTGATGATGGCCTGAATGTGATTGAATGGTTAAATTAAAGAGCAGTTAAAAGCAATAATACTTAAATCCCAAACTGTATTATTTAGGAATTGTATGAAACCAACCAGAAACCATTAAAAGGTTTTGATGTTTTCTTGTTTATATAATAAAAACAAAATTGTGTATCTGTAGAGACAGGCTATAAATACATTTTTATACAGGCGATTTTTAGTCTCCTGTGTTAGTAATGCCATGTTTCCAGAGACCGATTAAATTATTGTTATCGCTGTGAATCCTTTCCTCAACAGTTGTATTCTACAGTCCTTTCAGACTTTCTTATGTGAGCATTGATCCTCAAGCGCAGATGACGTCTACAACCATGGCAGCTCTGTCTGTCCACACCAGAGACACTCAGGTGCAGCTCAGAGTGAAGAGCTGAGTCTTGCGGGACAGAGGGGAATCTCTTTGTGATACTAGAGTTACTCTCCTGTACATGAGTGCTGTCTCGCAGTGAGCATACAAGTGTTACAGTTTTTGCCTTAAGTCTGTATTTTGCGGGAACTTAACACACATGTTGACGTTATACAGTGCAGTTCTGTAGTTTAGTGCCATGATTTTTTTTTCCACGTTCGTGATAATTGGGATGACATAAATTTGCATTCTATAACCGATAACCAACATTAGTATTAACAGCAGGAAATATTCTCAAGTTTTTACATACTGATCATTTAAAAACATATTTTAGCATAGAAATCTCCAAAAACAACACCAGCTTTCTCTGAAGAATTATCTGCTTCAGGGATTCCAGTGGTGGACCGAAAATGTTGACAAAAACACATTTCTAGAAGTAACATTGTCAAGCAGATGTAGACTGAAATCTGCCACCATAAGGAGTTCCTTGCTAAGGCCCTACAGACTGTGGCACTACAAACACTGCGAGTGAGGGGGCTCAGTACCTTCTCAGATGAGGAGTGTACAGTACTTCTTTTGCATGAGTGCATGTTCTGGGAGATTAAGTGTTTCTCCAGTGTGTTCAGCATTCAGCTCTTTTTTTTCTATGAGATACCATTCACACCTTGTACTGTATATTTTATTTTAAAAGTTTGATGTTCAGATTAGCCCTGGAGAAATATACCTTGTTAAAAGAGCTTATAACGCATCTCTTTCCATTTGTATAATAAAGTATTTGGCTGTTGACATGGAATACAAGAGCTGTCCCTGGAGGCAGATGCACTCTGAACCCTGATCTCTGCAAGGAAACTGGATGCAGTTCATACCAAGCAGTGAATACTTTCGAAAATAACAAAGTAGCATTTTTTCTAAAGCCCTGTTTGCTTGATTTTAATGTTTGAAAAACAATCCATTATTTTCCCCTGTGCCTTTTATTGTTTCATGTGATTCTGAGAATACTTTTAACTTCCATTTGCCTGCTGTGTAGCTGGGAATGAGCCTGCAGCCCAGGTGCTCGGGATGAGCTGGAAGGAAGCAGCTCTGTGTTTTACAGGGAGCTCACAGCCCTGCGCACATGTGCACCTTTGCCTGGCTAGGCTGGCTGACTGGGAGGCAGGACAGGAGCCTGTAGACAAAGGGACACTGTGGATCTGCGTTTTTGTTGTTTTCTGGAAAACAGATTTTTAAAATTATTTTTGTAATTACATAGGCTACAAGAATGGATATTTTAATGTAGACTTTAAAATAAAATATTCCAACAATATTTGAGTTTTCATGGTTTTTCATTTTCACGTGTGTAGTGTGTAGAGCTCAGCAGCGCCTTTATTTCTTGAGGTGCCTCACGCGATGGGGGATGCCAATACATGTGTTGATGAACTTCTACCGCTGCACCATCGAGAGCGTCCTCACCAACGGGATCACCGTGTGGTACGGCAACACCTCTTCGTGAGAAAGAAAGGCACTGCAGAGAATGGTCAATATGGCCCAGAAGATCATCGGCTGCGGTCTCAC